GAGCTTGATGCAATTACATATCTTCTAGGAACGTATTTAGTAAGAAAACAATCTCAATAGCTGATTACAAACAATTTGTTCTATAAAATTCGAAGCAAAAGAAATTAATACGACCAATTCTATTTATACATGTTCTCAAATTTTCAATAATATTAATCTAAGTATAGCATGTACCTATCGCAAGTTTTTTATAAGGAAATTGTCACAGTTATCATCGCTTGAGCATAATTATTGTGCAAGGCGTCACGGGGTCACTGGATCGATAAACCGGCACAAAACGATAACAATAAGAAAAAAAAAGAATCTCAAAATATTAATTAAAGTGTATGTATAATATTTTTCTTTAATTTATCTTAGTTATACAGAAATAGTGAGATGATGAATGTATGAGGAGGTTCAGATAACACATTGGATAACCTCGGCGAGTGACAATGTCCAGGCTACTGGGTTCGCTATCATTTCATGCACATCATTCGCCACGTTTGTATAACAAACATCAGTAGATAAGTTTGCTCTAATGAGTTCTAAGAAGTCTTTTTTAAACCTACATGCATTTTAGGATCAACTCGACACAAGTACCTATAAGTCGGTATTATGTAATTCATTCATTCACCGATGCAAGGCTTCAAATGTGATCACATAGGTAGTAATTTCGAGTATATGATGCGCCGCGTTATCTTATTTTTAATTAATTTATTAAAATCTCATAAAACTGGCCATTAGATATACGATAAGGCCGCCGTTGTAAAACAGATTAAAAGTATTCACAGTAAACATCTGCTTTTAAATAAGTAGGTAATATTAGTAATAATTGGGTCACTTCCCGTTAAGGAATGTCAAAGGTCAAGAATGCATCTACTATTTATTACAATAATGTTTTTATTCCGATTTATCGGTTACCGATAAGCTGGTGGATTGCGCAATATGCACGACCATATAGATTTTGGCCAAAATAACTATTCTTTATATTCATTTGTGCAGTTGTAAATCAATGAATGAAATATAGTGTATTGCATACAATATTTCATTTATTCCAAAATTTAAAAGTTGAGAAAGTTGCGAAAATATCTTTAATTTGCGATGATAAGATTATAAGTTGCCTCCTCGGCCGTGTTTGGTAAATCAAACCTTTTTAAAACTGCTTTATTCTTCCATGACATACCGATCGAATATATTTCTCTTTTTCTTGAACTAAATCACTTTTGTATCTCTTATAAATTACTATAAAAAATACTCATTGACCAGTGGTTAAATTACAACCCTATGTTTGTTTGTTAAACCATTTCCCTACAAACAACTTCATTAAAGTAATTCCATTAAAAATGAAACTATACTTAGAAAAACGGCAAGAAACAACAAAGCAAGCAATCAAGTTTACTTACAAGTCCCTAAATAATTCAATCATAAATAGTCTAATACTGTCATTTAATCAAATTACCTTCATTAGGTCCTACGATCAAAGTCATTGGTAATTCACAATACATGCAATCTATTGATTTTCTCTACCCACTTCTGACACGGCAACTGGCTCGACTGTTTACAAAAAATATACTTATAGTAGAACTTTTTGTGGCCCGATCATTATGAATCTCTTTCACCAGGAGAAGATGAGACTGTCAGATTCTGACTGACATTGATACTCTACGGACTATCAAATTCTGAGACTTATACTCCATCACACTATGATGTCTACGTACTGTCAAATTCCTCAGAATTTAGAGGGACTGTAAAATCTGACTCAAGAATCTCAATCACAACTGACTGACTGTAAGATTCTGAGACAGAGACGTTGATGTCTCGTCTCACACATCATGTAAATGGATGCAGGACTCTGATGCTTACATCTGATTAAATGGAACCTTACATTATGTTGTCTCATGAGCTATCGAAACTATGCATAGACATCTGTTTGGTAGAAAGCAGTTAGTGAATGGACGAATAGCTTATAAAAAATTTAGACTAATTGTCTTTTTGGAAAGCAAAGGGACACTCAACCATAATTATCATTGCATTTTCATACGACACATTATAAAAATTCTACTAAACCGTGTCTCCAGATCATTTTTATCATATTTGCAAAATATACGGATAACGAGAGTTCAAATAATATCCGTGAAGCAAACATATGTAGATAGGCGCCCCTAAATAACTCAAACTTTAACACTAAATTTAGGCATAGTCGTATCGTGCTAAGAGATAACCTTGCGAAGACTGACGCTGATTCGACGGGGTCAAAAGTACAAATATTAAAAAAATCTGAAATATGATAAAGATATCTTCTTTTTATGCAACAGTAACTTAAAGAGACGGACATGAGATTTTAAAATAGCGAAGACTAGCGTAAATAATCCCATAGCGTAAGAATATTACATCTATCTTCAAAAATACCAGTCCAATTTTATGTAAGGATAACAAACTTTTCTACACAAATTCACACTCTAAAACAGAAAACCTATTTATATATCAGAACATTATCCTCAGTAGACATGCGACCACCGATAGTACTACAGAAATCCCTTTTAATTATTCAAACTAAGCCATTTAGATAGCTCCCGACACTAAACTAGACGTCAATCCAGAACAGCAGTGCATTTAACTATCTTACAGATCGATTTAATACTTTCTTTCCACAGTAATTTCTATTGACAACGTACAAGTCAACCTGTTGAATCAGCTAACTTCTGAATTTCACTAACCATTCAAATATATCCTTTACCCAACCACAAATAAAGTTCAAATTACTGCCGCAACTTTATCGGCCACTTAGCACCTAATCTTAAATGTGATGCAAAATTTGGAGAGATTAGCGTTACTTTAAAATGTGTTATCTACGAGATTCTGTGGTCGGTCATCGACATTAGGTGGCGAGTAGATAGGCTAGCTAAACACAACCAACGGGTGCGCCTAAATTTAAGTAATGTCATAATGATAAGCAAAAACAGTGACTCAAAAAAGGAAGTCCAAAAATTCGAAATCAGTTACTCTGAAAACCCACGTTCTTAAAAAAAATGAGATTAGAAAACAGTCTCGTCTGAATTTAATAATGTGGGTATGATGTATTATTGATCTTCAGAAAACAGCTGCTCATACATAATATATTATGTACGAACGTATATATCAATGAATGTATGTCGATAGCCGAAAAGTTATAACCCTCCTTTTACCTTCACCGCAGTCTGGTAATAATGACATTCTCCGGGGTCGAATCTGAATTAACTCCTAATTTTTCATATTATGTAATCGACAATATTTACATACATGGATATTATGTTATTTTATAGACATAACATGAACCAGTTCCAAGAAGTTCAGTGTATCTACAATGGCGTAATTATAGGGTCATAATGTTATCTCCGGAATGACTCAGGACACTACCTACTGTTGCTAAGGTGATGCAAGGGTGTTGCAATTTCCTTATTTCATTTTACAACAGCCTGTATTTTACAATGCGATTTATAGTGCAATCAAAGAAACATTTCTCTAATCTAAATACAAGTATTACAAATATTTAGTTCATTGATTGCTTGTTTTTGATAGTCAAATAAATGAAACTACGTAATGGCCTCAATAAACTATGCGCCGAACAACACCATCCTTTTTTAAATCAAATAACATAACATAACATCACGCCTTTTATCCCCGAAGGGGTAGGCAGAGGTGCACATTATACCACTATACAATGTAACACCCACTTTTCACTATTTATGTTATGTATCCCATGTAATAGGGGGTGAGCCTATTGCCATATACCGGGCACAATTCCAAACTCCGTGCTATGACTGAGAATATTTAAAAACCCAGTAATACTTTACCCGACCCGGGAATCGAACCCGAGACCCCTTGCCCGACAATCGCACTTACGACCACTCAGCCAACGAGGCAGTCTTTAAATCAGTTACAGAGTAAAACAAAAGAAGTCGATAATAGAAATTCCATAATTAAATATGACAAAGAAAATGACCAGGGATATAGATTATAGGTACTTGAGACCGACTCCTTGGTAAACCGGAGTCAATAAAGCTGTGGTAATCGAACTATTCTTACTTAGTCTCTTTGTGAAATATCCGGAATACCGATCCTGTTTGAAACTATTGTCTAGATTTAAAGCTTTGTTACTTAGGCTTGGTGTTTAGATAGTCCCCAGGTAAACTAACTGAATCACTAGACATTGAATACTAACTTACAATCAATGAAACAAAAACCGTCAACAATTTTTGCCCATTTCCAAAATCAGAACATAACATAACATAACATAACATCACGCCTTTTATCCCCGAAGGGCGGCGAAGGGGTAGGCAGAGATGCACACAGAAGTAACACCCACTTTTCAATATTTATGTTATGAATCCCATGTAATAGGGAGTGAGCATATTGGCATATACCGGCACAATTCCAGACTCCGTGCTACTACTGAGTTTTTTTTAAAAACCCAGTAATACTTTGCCCGACCCAGGAATCGAACCCGAGACCCCTTGCCGCGGTCGCACTTGCGACCACTCGGCCAACGAGGCAGTCCAAAATCAGACTCGGGAAATATTATGTAGCTTCTAGACACTCAGCTATGTCGTTGACTGATCAGCAGGCTCAGATTATCAGTGCTCATTACGATGATGATGATGATAGATACGAACCAAATTGATATCACACAATGTTTTATGAAATCCAGGTGTTACTGAGTTCGAGACTAACATTTTAATCTATGTTTCTACTAACGATAACTGTCTTAAGTCTACCGTGGTAGAAATAATAAAACATATTACATTACAAGTATAGAAAACCGAATTTTATATTGAAAAGTATCAAAAAGATACACCACGAGTCGTGTGCGCCATGCGTATACGCCACGGTAATGCGTGAACTCTTTGGCTCCTCCGGACTCGTGTGCGGTGTGACTAACGTAGGGAGGTAAGTTGCGACGTTTGGTAGATAAGTTGTCTAGAAATATTCTACTATTAACATACGAAACTTACTAATAAACTCACGGAATACTTTTAATATGACTGACTGCACGGTTGGTGCGGTGGCTGGGCAACCAGCTGCCGTGCAACATGTCGCGGGTTCGATTCCCGCTCGGAACAACACTTTGTGTGATCCACAAATTATTGTTTTGGGTCAGGGTGTCATGTGTATGTGAACTTGTATGTTTGTAAATGCAACCACGAGTGTGGCGCAACGTTTAAAAAAAATATCGTGAGAAAGATTGTCGTCTACGAATTTTTTTTTCTTCTCCTCTTATTATAGCTTCTGATTCACTTTATTGCTGGAACCTAAACAGTTATTCATGTTCCTGGGACGCGCTGGACTTCAGTGTTCCGGTGTTTACATGGTCGTATCTACTGTAGATCCTGGCTTAAAGGAGTTGCAGCGGTTTTGGAACGTTGTGGCGGGCTTGGTCCATTGTTGCCTACAAATTAAATCAAACCCTGTATCCCCCTTCCTATTGGAAATGATATAAGTGCGAAAGTTTATGAGGATGCAATGTCTCAACCCCGTGAAGTTTTGAAAAACCTGAGAACTCTTTCTTGAACCGTAATTATAGCATTAGTGTAAATTGTCAAACAGCTGTTTAAATAATTTAAACACAGGGTATGGTTGTGTTTGTGTTTGTTCTCATATATAGAGGTACATTTTCTCTAACATTTGCATTTGTAATAGGGATATATATGTACAAGGTAATATAATTATTTACTAGATTAAGATTCTACCAGAGGATACTGGTTGTCTAGAATAATATCATGTGGTTTATTAATTAAAGCCTCCAATAATTTTGTTTAAAACATCGCAGATAGCCTTATATGATAACTACTTACAGTTATCAATATATAGAGCTCAAAATGTTAAGCAATTGCGTCAGTAGACCAATTTTTTGCCATTGTTTTAATAATATATATTTTTTTAGTAATTGTGGCGACGCATGCCACATGTCAACGGATGACGTCACAAGAATCCTACATCGCACATACAAAGTTTACAAGCGAATAAACACGGATAGAAAATCCCAACGAACAACTGTTGGGCAGAAAGCCCGCCACTCACGATCACCTCGCCTGGTCGGAGGATCCTCCTTTTCCGATCTTAGGGAACTATACTCTCTGTTCTCTAAATAATAATAACTTTTATCACATGATTAAGTATTTTGTGTCTAATTGTACTTCATATTTTTAAATATTTAAACCTAAAAAAAACACTATTCGCCCAAAAAGACTCAATCGATTAAAAATATCTTTGACCAAATTAGTCCATTCTTAATTACGAAATACGATTCTATCACTATTTTTATTAATACTAGAAAACATAACTTTTCTAGCTCAGATCAATAAATAAAATCACACAATAAAAACACAGGTCTTGAGCTACTACTAACTAGTAAATTGTATTGTGAACCTGATTGAAAAAGAGTAACCTATGGAGTTTCTTGCTCGTTCTTCTCCATAGGAATCTACACCTTGGAATGAGCAAATAGCTTCACTTTTAATTTTCTTTTTGTTGACGTTCAAAAGTGCCATTCTGGCCTAATTGAAATAAATGATTTTGACTTTGACTTTGACTACAAACAACATACTGATCTAAGCTTCTTACGGAACTAAATATATATAAATCATTAATGTTCGTTTGTTTGTCTATTCGTGTTGCATTCGGGCATAGTTGCAGCGATTGATGAACTTCATGCTGTTGGCATTGCATCAAAGTTCTTGAATACTGTTAAACAACTAACTACAATAGATGTATCAGAGTTCGAGAATTTCAAATAGTTTAGTATTCATTGTTATATTAGTTATAATACTAAAATGCTACACTGACGGTTTTGTTCTTAGCTGACGTCAGCGAAACTAGATACCCAATTGAAGGTAAAGCACCATTTTGAGTTTCAGGTAGTAAGTTCTAGAATCTAGATCTTGCTGGAAACTTCTATAAGTTACACGATTCATACAAGCTACTTGGAATGGGAAGTAATTAAAAGTAAACCCAATTAACAGACAAAGTATTATTTGTGTTAAAGTATGGATTTAGACTTCATTTTAGAATGTCTGGTTTATATGCAACCTATAACTTAAAACTTCAAATACAAACTTTCAAAAAGTAGACGTTAACGTCTTTTCGATACTTGAAGAGAAATTATAAGAAGATCAATGAAACGGAACCGAATTATCGATTAATTGTATCAACAAAACAATTCCCTAAATTACTATGTTGTTACAAAACATCAACACACTGCTGACCAAAGGCCTCTTCTGACACGGAGAAGGTTTGAGCATATCACCACGATTGCGTTTAGAAATTTTATAATAAAGCCTAGGTTTCCTCACGATGTTCTCCTTCACCGTTGACCAGTGGTGTCTAAATAATCTTAGAAAGTACGTATAACTCGGAAAAAGTTACATTAGTACATACATGGCGTTAGCACGCTTCTCATGAATGAGAAGAGAGCGTCTAATACTTTCAGGTCACCAGGAAATTTAGACACAATATGTTGTAAACTGCTATAAATTGCGAAGTCCACGTTCCAATGTATAATCTACAGTATACATTTTCAAACGAGCCTCTATAGATTTACTGGGAGATAAAACATAGACTATTTAAACGGCTTTTTGATGTTACAAAACTGACAATTGAATCTACCTCTATTATGAATATCATATTCCCTCCTACCCGCTCTCCACGGGACTACTACTACTCCCAGAACCGGGACATTGCCGCCGAAGCCGCTGAAGAACGACCTGCGACTCTGACGGACATCTGCCAACCGGACGCCGACTGTGGTCCCCGCGCTTGCGGACTACTAGTGCAGGATAGTGGTGTGCCTTCCGGCGAACTATAATTTTGCGTGCGCTCGATATTTCGTACTCACTCCCGGCTCAACCGAGTAATTGTAATAATTTTTAATTCCGTAAAATAAATTTGTTGGCCTACCTTCAAATTTTCTTTCTTTTATTTTAAACTATTTTTTATCGTTAGGCGTGCTACCTACCGCCAACGTGACAGTGGCACTATATTATTATGTATTATTGAATTTGATTTTGACAGTCAACTTTTGCCTTCGTTATGTTATGTTACCACCGATTTGCTTGTCTTGTATCGCTTTTCTTAGTTACTTTAGTTTCGAAGAAAATATGAAAGCTTTTAAGATGTGCACTGTAGTGCAAATTGAGTTGTTTGTGACGGAGCGGTACAATCGATGCTGTGCTGTGAACACTTAGGAGTCACATAGGCAAGTGTAAAGTCAATAGTACATCAGTGATATTGGCTTGATATTATGTTGAAGTTATTAGCTACTTTGTCCGATGCACGCTCAAATATAAATACAAAATAAAAGAAAAAAGGAATAGAATCCGAAAAAAAATGACTGCACGGTTGGCGAGGTGGTTGGACAACCGGCCGCGCAACGTGTCGCCGTTTCGATTCCCGCACGGAACAACTCTTTGTGTGATCCACAGATTGTTGTTTCGGGTCTGGGTGTCATGTGTATGTGAACTTGTATGTTTTTACGCACCTACGACACAGGAGAAAACGCCTAGCGTGGGGCAATGTTTTATAAAAAAAAAATGAAGTCAAAGATGTCTTTTTCGAAAATTTGAACAATCCCCAATGGTAGACGTATACCGTCCGAAAATTCCGCGGATTTTTTATTTTTTAAAATTCTTTAAGAGCCATCAGACCACCACAGATGGGGCCCAATAGGGCCGATGCCGATTCGGAGTCGCGGAGAACCTAACGGGTAACCGGGGCTTGGTTTTTAGTCAGTAAGAGTCTGACACTCCCTCCCGCCTCACCCAGGCGGGAGAAGTCATACAATAAATTTTCCCCATTTAAAAAAAATACCATCCAAAAATTCAAACCCCATGAGAACGCCTGGGTGAGGCGGGAGCAGTCATACAATGATTTTCCCCATTTAAAAAAAATACCATCCGAAAATTCAAACAGTCATCATAGGTACAAACACACACACACAAAACATTCATCGTGTCGTTTCATAATAAACTAATAAGGAACACTTTCATATCTTCTCAGTATCGCAGGTGTACGTTTATCAATTCATAATAATTCTCGCGATACTGAACTACTATTAACAATTAGTTTAATTAACACCCCCAAGACGTCTGCACTATATTTTGAAGCGCAATGTTAACAATTAACTTGCTAGGAGTAAATCTTATACTGCAAATCATATGAGTATGTTTAAGGTAACATGGTAACATACTGCTTTATAGTACACTAGCTTTTACCCGCGGCTTTGCTCGCGTCACAAAAGGATAAAAAGTAGCCTATGTGACGTATACCAATACATACAGCGCCATCTATACCAATACTTTTGTTTTCCCTCGGGAATATTAAACTTTTTCGGGATAAAAAGTACCCTATTATTTAATCCAGACTACTAACTTTACGTCTGCAAAAATTCAATGCAATCGGTTTAGTAGTTACGGCGTGAAATCGGAACAAACAAACAAACAAACTCACTTTCCGATTTATAATATTAGTAAGGATTTGAATATTCAGATATAGTACAGTTTTTCTTGATTTATAACATGATTGCAGGAGCCAGCGTCCATGCTGATGTGCAACATGTCGTGAGTTCAACGGCAATGCACAACTCTGTGTCATCTATAATTGTGTGCAGGATCTTTATATTGTAAAAGACTGAGAAGGAGGCTTGGTTTCCTAAAATACTGATGCCTTGAGGCTTACACCTGTCCAGTTGCCCACTATATGGTATGTATGCGACACCCGTAACATCAGCTGGCTTATTCGTATAGTTTAATTTCGCATGTACACTGACTTCTAAGATACAGGTGTTTTCCTAGTTTAGAAGTCAGGGCCCTTTTGCTCTGGTCACAGTCATGATAATAAAGATTTTTTATTTTTTAATTCGATTTTTAATTTTCATACCCTGTCATCACCCATATTGTCTTGTAGCGAGAAAATAAATAATTTTGTAATTAAATAGTATAATGCATAAGTATCGTAAATAGCTAATTAAAATACATATGTTAGGCTAAAAATAACCTTGGATTCCATTCAGCTTTTCCCTGAACAGACGAAGTGGGCAGTACACCCACAATCCCAACATCCATTGTTACACATTATTATCAGGTGCCATAGATATAATACTACTTGAATAGAAAATGTTTGAAAAAGTTATGAATACTGAATAATTGGAAGTATGTACTTATAAGTTTTTAGAGGACAAAGAGGTTCACGAGCAGATGTTTCTCAAAGTGATAAATGCCGCCCATGGACACCCACAACACCAGCGGAGTCACAGGTTCTTTGTCAATCTGTGTGGTTGAGAGACATTGTAGGTGCGTTACCCTCCCTTTGAATGAGTATGTATTTAATGTATATAATGTTAATGTAGTTAGTAATGAGTAGATATTTGCCAACGGTTTTCACACGTTAAAACACAAAGCAAGAATTGTTTCACGCGAGCCGTTTTTCTACAAGGGCGTGGTATCACTCCGGTCGAGTCCATTCGGACTGAGGCTGATGTAAAAGAATAAGTTACAATTTGGAAAAAGACAAAGGTTCACCGTGTGTTAATAATCCCTTAAAAGTACGAGTTTAAATTGCATTCGTATGAAACAATACTACATAACATTTTCAAATTAAAATTTTACTGAACTTCTGACATCTAAATCGGACAATGTCGTGTTGAACGGGAACTTTGATACAAAGGTAATGGAAGTTTTTTAGAGAAAAGTTTTAAATTGTTATTTAATAAATTATTCAATGTTCCTGAACGTATGAACCGGGTCCATATGCAATGCACAATACTAAGTAGTCCTGTTGGTCGATTTTTCGAAAATGTACAGACTCGCATGAAATTCCGCGAAGTCGTTTGACAAAGTTAGTGTGTAAAGTTTTTTTAGTTAGTAACTGCTACTAAATAGGTTAAACTTGATTAAACCAGTTTGCATGATATGTGATGATGTAGCGAGCTAATTAGTCGAGTTTTGGAGGTATCATTATTATGGTAATAAAATATTTATTTATGTAATTTTTTTTAATGACAAGTAATTTGATTTTATACTTAACATCATGACTGTCATTCGTTCTGTTATTTTGATTATTTATATAATTATGAAATTTGACTGCCTCGTTGGCCGATTGGTCGCAAGTGCGACTGCCGGGCTTCGATTCCCGGGTCGGGCAAAGTATTACTGGGTTTTTCGAAATTCTCAGTAGTAGCACGGAGTCTGGAATTGTGCCCGGTATATGGCAATAGGCTCACCCCCTATTACATGGGACTCATAACATAAATAGTGAAAAGTGGAATTGATGTCCGTATGTCCCCGTATGACCACAGAATTTATGACGCTGCAGCCCTTTTAGTGGCTACGTTTGGTTCGCCATCACGAGTTTGATTCTTGCTTTGGAGAAATAAATTTTTATGCTTGGTCTTTATAATGACGTATAAGAAAAAGAAACATATTACAAATAATATAAGTACTGGATTTCTTGATCTTTGTATAGTACAAAAAAATCGGACTTTATAACTCAAATAATGAATCATTCCTATATTCATATAAAAACAGGCATTTTGAACGTCAATTAAATATTATACAAATATTTTAAGCTCCGATTATGGATATCAATCGATTCTGTAGTATTCAAAGTGTAAAGAAAAATAGTAATGCTGAGGTAATGAATGACTTTTGCATACATTAACACTGCGATTGAGTATCTGTTCGTACGGAATAATTTAAAGGTTATTCGCAACCGCACAGTGTAAGTAAAACATTAAAAAAGTATAAAAAAACATCATAAGGTAGCTATTATTCGTCTAATATATATAGTATTTAGTCTTTTCCTCTAACTTTTGCTTAGAAAATTGTAGACAGACGTTAACGTCTCTCTATTTAGAGGGATAAATTCGACGCTTCATGAGCACGGAGCAGACTACCTATGTAAGCTTGCATTGTTTTATGCACACTACACAAGGACCCAAGCCAGCTTGCAAACAAAACCATATACCCAAAGTAAGTTTCGGAATCAATTAACAGACTTCAAAAATAAACCGATTATTCTCCGCGGTGATCGATTCGTAAGATTGGAACCAGTTTTATAATACTTTTTTTTATAACACACGCGTACCGGTAACAATTTGGAATTTAGCATTACGAGTTTCAACTTATTTCACTTATTGTACTGACCTCATTTAAGTTCGTAAATATAATGAAAGACAAATGACTGGCTTCGATTAAAATTAGCGCACGTAAGGTAATCGCTGTAACAATACACCCGTAGGTAATAGTTTGCAGTTGTAAAAGTGGCAATGAGACAATCAGCATTTTACTGACTTTATTTTATGTCACACTATTATAAACACGCTACAATTTTTATTATTACCCTACTGACTTATATTTAATTAAATTGTTCAAATTTGTTTTACAACTGGGTTACCCTAAACTTTATCGACATCAAATAATCGTTTTATCAACTGATAGACACCTAGACATACTTTCCTGCAAAGAAATCAAACAGCTACTACGCTATGCCGCGAAACTCTGTACTTAAATTATTTAAAGATATTAAGTAGCTCCTAAGTTATAATTACATGTCCCTCCGAACTGTCCGTGTAAATTCTTTTATGTAAAATTCAAACAAGCTCGAACTGAACCATCGTAAAGTTAAAATATGTTCAGTTGTTGCAGAAACCGGCTCTGACACCTTATAGCTAGTTATTACTTTAACTTAGCCAATATTCAAACAAAACACAAATCTTTTGTCCCCTTAAAATGAGTCAGGCACACAATAAATACAAAATCGCAAGGTCTAGACTAAGCGAACTCGAAAAAAAGTTTTGCAAAGTATTTTTCAGAAAGGCCGCGGGCTGGTTGGTAGCCGGGTTTTTGACAAACTTTTTTGGAAGACTTACCTTCAAGACTGATGCCACGAGGACAAGCAGGAGGACCGCTAGCGGGGTTCCTCCGGACCTCATGGTGGTCCAAGAAGGAAGGAAGACGAACGTTTGGAAGTTAAGTCCGATGACCGGGAAGCGCGTAGGCGTCGTCCGCGCCGTTCCACAGCCGGACCGCGAATGATGCCCGCGGCCCGCTCCGCTACGCTCCTCCGCTCGGCTCCTCTCACAAGCGTAACTTTCGTCCCAACTCCAGAAGCGCACGCAATACTTCGACATTCAAGCCTGCAGTGCTTCCTACGCAACCGATGATGCGCCGAGCAACCCACGCCGATGCAACTTATATACTGTGCTTTTATTTTTTAATACTAATTGTGTTCTTAGCGTTTTTTTTTTGAGTGCTTATTATATTTAATTTGTTTTCCTATCAAGTACTATGCAGTCTGGATACATTGCAAATTACTTCACGTTTGCATATATTATCAAGTACGTAGAAAAACTCTTCGTCTCGTTCCCGCGCGAACCCTGCAAAGTTCTTTGACCCCTCTCCTACGCTTATCACAATGACTCAATCGTAAATCAAGAACGTCTTATGTTTTATCGTAGTGCTCATAGAAAAATATTCATTATGAGTTTGGAATAGAGTTAGTAGTATAATAATAAAAGTCGATAGTGATTCAAAAT